CTTGGTCTTTCTTAAGGGAATGTGAGTTCCCTAAAGAGGCTGTTTAAATTGGAAGGTAAAAGGACTCCTGGCATGGTGTCAGGTCAGGGACCTACCTTTATGACTTCTCTAGTGCTTCCTTGCCTTCTTAAGGCTCTGTCTCTAAATAGAGTAGCACTTGGGATTTTGGCTTCCAGTTATGAATTTTGGGAGGATATAGTTCAGTCCATAACAAACCTGCTTTAATACTTTGTTTTTGGATTTTGTTTTATTGTTATTTTCTGTTGTTTTTATGAGAACCCAGTGGATTACTGTTAGGACAAACTAGATAGTTTGTTTTTTGTTTTCCTTCAGCACTTCTTATCAGTACTAGTGACCTTAGGTAGTAAACAGGTTAAAGAGTGGAATGGGGTAGATAGGAAAGCATTGAGGGAATGTGAAGTTATTTTCTGTATGTGCTCTTAAACGTTGGGTAAAACCATTAAACTGGCGGTTGAAGCTGATGATTTCTGTTTTATGTCACAGAAGCGCTTAGTGTGTAATGTTGTCCTTCACAGCTGTGCCTTTTCTCTGGCGCTGGGTGTTAGAGAGCTGATAAATGTGAGGAGCCCTGAGGCTATGGACCACATCTCCATAGCCCCTTTAGACATGAGGTCTTGACACTTGGAGAGGCCTAGAGCTTTCCTACGTATGGGCGAGTTCTGTTCAAGGAAGCTGGCCAATAACTTAGCCTGATTTTCCCTTTTTATTTTCCCTTCACTCATTTTGTTTCTTCTTATGGAAAGGATTGTTTAGGTTGTTTAAAATCAACTGGCAATTTGGGGTAGCTTATTTGGGAAGGGCCTGGTCCCAAGACATGACTGAGACATGACTTAATCCTTTTGTACTGAAGGTCAAAGGAATACTTCTTTCACATTATTGCTTCCAATACCAAATAATAAAGATAGAAATTAGAGGCTATGAAAAAGAATTGACTCCCTTAATGTGCTAACCTCTCCTTTTTTTCTCTCTTCTGGAAAAAAGATTTAATTTGAAAGTTAGAGGGTAAGAAAGGTAGCTTAGGTAAGGGAAGGGACACAGACAGGGATCCAGACTGGCCTACCTGCTGAGTTGGGACACCAGCTTTTAAGGAGTAGCTGGTGGGCTGGGGTCCACTTGATCATTTTCTCAGTCCTGCAGTCGTAGCTCTAAGTGGTGGGCTCCCTTCCAGTTAAGAATTGTTGATGGTCTGAATCAGGTAGGGTTCCGCCTTTCCTGAAATATAGATGATCATAGACTTAGTGTGTTAATTTTATTAGCACAAACCTTTCTTTTCAATGAACTAAGAGAAATTAGTAGTATAGCTATCTTAACTTTATTTATTTATTTAATTTTCTCATCATTTTTCCTTTCCCCTGTCCCAGTTTCTCTCTCCTTTTGAACCATTTGTTCTCATTTTACAATATCTGTTGTACATTTTGGTTCTTCTTTACTCTTTCAGCTTTTCACACTAGGGAGACAATATGATGTTTACACATGTGCATTTGGTTTATTTCACTAATGAGTATGTCTTGAGTTGCATCCATTTGCCTATAAGAGTCTCCAGTTCATCCTTCTTTATGACTGAATAGTATTCCTTTATATCAGAAGACCATATCTTTTTTATCCATTCCTCGGTTGATGGGCATTTGGGTTGTTTCCATGATTTAGCTATTACAGATTGTTCTCCTGTAAACATTGGTGTGCATATATTGCTGTAGTGTGATGTTTTTAATTCTTCTGGGAAGATACCCAGCAGGGGAATAGCTGGGTCAACTAGGACCTCTAATCCTAAGTTTCTGAGGAATCTCCATACAGATTTCCACATTGGTAGCACCAGTCTGCCCTCCACCCAGCAGAAGGGTTCCCTTTTCCCCACAGCTGCTCCCAGCATTTATTATTGGTTGATTTCTTGATGCTAGCCATTCTTTCTGGGATGAGATGGCATCTCAGTATTGTTTTCATTTGCATCTCAAATATCATTTGAGGTGCAAATTAAATATATGAACATTATTTCATATATTGCTATTTGTGTTTCTTCATCTGAGAAGTGTATATTCATCTCAGATGCACATTTTTGGATTGGGTCTTTAAATTTGGGAGGTCTAATATTTTTGAGTTCTTTTGCTGTCTTTAATCTTGAAGGAAGTACGATTATATCAGTTCAGGGCTAATCAACCTTATTTTGCTAACTTTGAAACAGATGATACTCCCTAAATTATTAACATATCTATATGCAAGGTTCAAGAAGGATTTGTTCTAAAGTTTTAAGGTACCAAAGAACACTAAATGATCAAGCTTTGTTCTGCTTTTAGTTACTTCTTGAGCATCTGTAGGTCCACATGAAGAGTCATGGTTCATAGCAAAAATGGCTTTTAAATCCCTGACTGTCCGAGAAGAAAACACAAATTATGCTTTTAATGGCAATTTTTTTTTACTCTTTTTGTGTCTGTGTTTCATTATGCAGTTTAGGCTGGCCTTGAACTCACTTTGTAGTGCAGGCTGGTCTTGAACCTGCAGAGATCCTCCTGCCTCATCCTCCCAAGTGTTGGGATTACAGGCGTGTGTCACCATGCCCAGCTTATGCTTTTAATGAGTTAATTCATGAGTTTAATGAATTTGGCTCTTAACCCATTCCTATGTCTGCCTGTGTCATTCTTCCCTGAGAGACTTTATCCTCCTTAATCTTAGGGGAAAACACACACACACAAAATCTCTCCCATTCTCATAAAGCATTTTTTAAAAAAATTTTTTTTTCCGGTACCAGGAATCGAACTCATGACCTTGTGCTTGCCAGGCAGGCGCTGTGCTGCTGAGCTAAATCCGCAGCCCTTCCATTCTCTTTTTAAATGTCAACTATTTTACTCTCCTATATTTGGCCACTGAATGTTTAGAACCAAGTTGATAATCAAAATTAGCCTACTTTTTAACTCCTGAAGTCAAGAAAGTCTTCTCAGGGGTTACGGTTAGGGATGCACGAAGAGCCTTTTTGGCTCCCTGAGATTGTTACTGTGTGTGTCATTCCGCACAGTGGGCCATATGGCTTGACTTAGAAGCATGGGACTGGTCTCTCTTGAATTGCTCTGCTTTTAGCACAGTGTGCATTGGTTGACTTCTGTCCTCTGGGGTCTGCCCCTCCTTGGGAGGTTGTGTCTCACTGGGGTTATAGGACCCTTTCTTTTAGGTCCCGTTGTACCCTGGGTCGGGACTGACCTTGCAGGGTAAGGATCAAAGTATCAGTTGTTCTCTTTGCCCTTTTGTCTTCCATAGCTAGGATCTCCAGGCCTTGGTTGTTAAACACCCAGAAGGCCAGTTACACCAGTCTTATAATGGGAGTTGAGATCTTGACCCTATTGTAATTTCCTCTGGTTAGTGAGAGTCAGTGTCATAGCCCACCTGTTTTACAGGTAATTGCCTACCATCTTAAAATACTATTCAGGTTGTCCGTTAAAAGTCATACTTCTGAGGAATGTTAACAGAGCACAGTTATAAAATCTTAAAGATAATAAAAGCAAAACAAATCCAGTTAACACAATAGTTTAAGAAATATAGTAAGTCTTGTTTTGTTAGAATTAGATTCCTTTTAAGTATTTGGTTACAGATGTGCCATTCAGGTGGCTAGTTTGGGAGTGTACCGTGTTTAGGCATATCTAATTATCCTAATACAATTAAACATGCGACTGAAAACATTTCTATTATTTCAAACAGTATTGGTTCTTGGGGAGTTGTGAGGGTAGGAGCAGTATGTTAAGGTGTTTTCCTCAAGCTCTATGCTTTAGAAGGTTTGTCAACTTAGGAAATGCAAATGCATTTAACACAAAAGAAGTCAGCAATACTTAGCAGCACAGTTACATAGAAATTTTTATATATCAACTTAGCTTTTTCTTTTAAGGTAAACATTTGAATCTGTGGTTCAGGCATATACCTATAATCAGTGTATTTTGTGTTCAGCAGATCTATAAAGTTTAACGGTATTGATGAAAAATCAGAGCATGGCTTTAGATTTCTTACAAGCTCAGAAAACATTGTTAATGACCACAAATAGACTTACTACCTGACTTACAAATGTATCTCATGTATATAATAACAAAAATGCTTATTTAATTTAAGCCAATAGATGTAGGTCATATTTTAAGTGGCAGGATTGTCCAAATGTTGAGGTTTTCCCCACCTGAGTGATACTGGATAACAATAGAAATGTTAAGTTTTAGCGAACTTTTTATACATTAAAGGTCCATATGCATTGTATACTCTATAGAACAGAGCACTCAGTGATTACTCTGCATATAGTAAACATATGTATCTTTAGTTTTTCAAATGCATGTTTACACAGCTTATTTAGTAATCATATGTTTACATATTTAGTCTCAGATATACTTTCAAATATCAAATCCTATGTTAATACATGGTTTCTTAGGTAATCAAAAAGCTAATAGCAGAGAACATGATATATTATCTTGAGAAAAGACAAACCTTTATTTTTTAGATGAATTCCTAGCCTCTTAAATGTGAGCAAATGTTGACATCATCAATTGTTTATAGATAATCTCTCCCTCTACCTAATTCATTGGACCTATGGCAATATGCATTTCATGACTAGGACTCTTGTCTTTTTTTTTTTTTTTGAAGTCTCTGAAATAAATAACCCTGTCCTGGGATGTTTTTGTTAATTTTCCAATGCCTGTCTTGCTGCCTTACATGTATCAGGGCACTACTTGCTGTGATTGGAAATGTAATAGGCAAGCTCTTCTGTGGTGATTCCTGTCTGAGGATGATGGAGCATACCAAGTATTTTGCAAAAATCTAAGAATGGTATGAGTTTATTTCTGCACCAGCTTTAGCTGTTAATAAGCCTATATGCAAATTAAAGCATGGATTTTAAAAATTTGCTTAGTCAATTATTATATTATTATGTTGCTTTATATTTTCATACTTAGAAATGCTACTGTCTGCTGGATTTTTGTTTTGTTTTTTTTTTAAAAATTAGATACTTCATTTTTTAGACTAAACTTCAGTGGCTCTGTGAGGAACTAAAAGAAAGAGAAAACAGAGAGAAGAATCTGCGACATCAGCTGATGCTCTGCAGACAGCAACTCAGGGATCTGACTGAGAACAAGGAATCTGAACTCCAGTGTCTCTTTGAGCAGATAGAAAGGCAGGAGCAACTTCTGGAAGAAATACATCAGGAGAAGAGAGGTGTGTTAGCTCTTCTTATTCTTACTTTTCTCTGTTTATATTCATGGAATACTAGGTTTGGAAAAAAGCCTATTTATACTGCCTCTGGTTTGAACTGTTTTCACATCCATCTCCCTCCTTGTCTTTTGTCCTATCTTTCTTCATTTCTGAGAGTAGAAAAACTGTGGAGGCCCGAGTTTCCCTCCAGTCGTAGTGTCCCTCACATGTGCAGAGCACATGTATCTACTGAATGAGTGCAGGGATTTGTCTGCTGAGACATCTCTTCTCACCTGGTACAATGACAGAGTTTACATTTGACCGCAGTAAACTATCCATTAATTCATTTGAAAATTATTTATTTTGTACCTATTTCATGTTTGGCACTCTTAGGTGTTGAGGATACATTAGTAAACGAAGCAGAATAAAACCTTCCTCTTACATAGCTTATCTTGTATTGAGTGGGGAGACAGAAAATAAATGCAGTAAATAGGCCAACATACACAATACGTTAGAAGTGGTGAGCATGGTGGAAGTGAGCGCAAGAAAGGGAGAGCACAGTGTAGGAGAGCGGTGGCAGGGTTTAATATGCAGGCAGTGTCTAATTTTAATAGTTGGACAAGAGACTTGGAAAAGTACTTTTCCATTCTGTTACAGTAGGGGTGCCTTAAGATAGGAACAAGGAAAGAAGCAGTCATGTTGAGAAAGGTTGTGTGTGTATCTTGTATTTCTGGGCCGTAAGCTGTTTTATTGATAAACTTTCCTAGATCTTTAGGGGGCTTAATATAATGTCTGAGTAAGAAAATCTAGAAATTAACATTTGATAAGCCTTTTTCAAATGTTCTGTTCTTCCTTTCCATAGTTAGGGTTGTTATCCTCACATGTACCACTTAGATATTATTACTGGGCTGCAGTGATTCTTAATGTTTTTGATATCAAAACCATTTTATGTTCTTAAAATTTTTGAGGACTCAAAGAGCATTTATCACTGCATACTATGTATCAGTGTTTACCATAGGAAAAAGTAAAATTGAGAATTTAAAATGTTTATTTATTTAAGATTAAAATCACAATTTATAACCATTTTGTATTAAAATAAAAATAAAAAGTAATGCCATTCCAAAACTTAAAAAAAATGAGAGAGCAGCCTTGCCAATGTTTTTAGTAGCTCACTTAAAAGAAAACAAGTTAGTTCTCATTTTTGCCCCTGCATTTTATCTGTTGTTGTAATGTATCGTGTTACTTTTGGAAAACCTGTGCTTTATGGTTTTCGTTATAATGCGGCATTGATTATGGAGAAGTGCGTCACATTTGAGTATTATTATTAAGAGTCTTTGATAGTCTTTAATCATATTTTGAGAACTTACTATAGGGCGACTGAAAGGTAATTTGTGCAAATAGTAAATATCTGAACATGCTTTTGAATTTTTTAATATGGTAGTACAATAACATAATTACGAGACTTATAGATAAAAGATATATAGTCTCTATGTACTTTATGAACTGCTGCCTAATTAGTAGTAGAGTACTCTCAGTTTTATTTTCAATGGATATTGTTAATATTCATTAATATTATAGGTCACCGTATAAGTAATTTCTTTGAGGATTAATACGGTGTGTATTATGAATAAACAACTTTGGCAGTGAGGAGAAATCTAAAAGATCCATGTTTGTGTACTTAGATAATTATAGTCAAATTATAAAAGTTTCAGAAGATAAGCCTATAAGCCCTTTATCTCTCGGTGTGATTGTTTTTATTCCTACTTTTTGAATATAATGAGTTTTTTTGATTAACTTGTATCTTTAGGACATGTTATTTCCTTGTACATCTTTGAATCAGCTTGTTCTTTTTAGAAAAGAAACTGCTCTTCTATTGATATGGTTATGTTCAGTAATTTGAGAATGGGTATGATATCTTACTACTATTGAGTCTTCTTGTCCATGAATATGGAATATTAATTTATTAAGGTCATTTTTAACTTTTTGTAAGTTTTAACAAACAAATGTTGCACATCATTTTTAGAATTATCTCTAATTTTCTTGTTATGATGCAGTTAAAAATAACATTAAAAATTTAAACTCTAGAGTTTATTTCTTGTATATAGAAATATAATTGAATTAAAAAATATTAACATAGTATGTTTCAACCTTGCTGAGAGTTTTTATTGGTTCTACTAGCTTTTTGTTACTAATCTTGTTGATTCCTTAGGATTTAGTATTTCCCTGGTGCACAGTCAACATCAACTGTAGGTAAACACAGTTTTGCTCCTTTTTCTCCCTTACCGTAATCAACTAGTTGATTCTACCAGTAAATATTAAACTAATGTTGCATTCCTGGGATAATCTGTACTTTGTCATAGAATAGTTTCCTTTTTACATATAGTTGGATATGGTTTATTAATAGTTTGTTATTAATAATCGTTGTATCTGTATTCATGAAGAATACTGGTATATAGCTTCTTTTCTTATAATGTTACCTGATTTAAATATCATTGTAACGGTGGCCTCATAAAATAAGCCAAGTTGTGTTTTTCCTTTCATTATGGTTGCAACATTTACAGAGAGTTTGTATTTTTCTTTTTAAATGCGTGATAACATTTTTTAGTGAAGCCACTTAGGCCTATAATTTTTATTTTGTGAAGAGTATTGATAAATATTCAGAAATTCTGTTGAATTTATCCACATAATTTTTTAATAGCATTTCTCTAATTTTTGTAAGATCTGTCTTGAGGCTTTCCATTACATTCCTGTTATTGGTATTTTCTACACATTTGTTCTTTATAAGTCTTGCTGAGGAGCTAGTTAATTTAAAAAGTGTTTGTACCAAAACTTTTGTATTTTTCTATTATTTATCTTTATATTTTATTGACTTTTTTATTTCTATCACTTTATATATTATTTACTTTTTTTCTTGCTTTTTCAGTTAAGTCTTCAATACTGTTCATTCTTAATGTATGCATTTAAAACTGTAAGTTACTGTCTTAGCAATACTTTAGGAGGATTTAAAAAACTTTTATGCTATGTTTTCATTATGATTCAGTTTGAATTACAAAATGATTCCTTTATGATTTGTTCTTCAGTCCAGGGTTTTGTTTTAGAAGTGTACTGCTTGATTTTTTTTTTTCAAAACCTGTATATGAAAGGTATTGTAGGTTTTTAAAAAACATTATTGTGGGAAAAAAAATTATTGGCTTTTAACTAAAGCCTTTATAGAATGTACTAAAAACCTGGGGAAATTATTGTAACTAAATCTTGTGGCCGTTATTCTGGTCTATATTGGTGAATTTTCTTTGTGCCCTTCAAAGTAAGTTACGTTCGTTATTTATTGTGAAGTATTCTATAAATGTCACACGCCAATTTTTTCAGTTTTTTATGTCCCCAATCATTTCTGTACTCCTATTTTTATTTCTAAGAGAAGATTGTTAAAATATTCACTTGTTACTGTAAATATCATTTGTTCTTTTTTTCATGTATTTTAAAAGTGATCTAAGCACTGTTGATTATGGGAATGTGTCCAGCTAGGGCCTTTTTTTTTAGTCTCTTACTGAAAACAAAGGACCGAAGAAGGACATTTGTAATGAAATTAGACAACAGGAAACAAATTTCAGATTAATGTAGGTGGGGGAGAGAAAAAATTCGGGTAAGATTGAAAAGTTTCAGTGGTTTTAACACTGGGTGAAATGAGAAAGTCAGGAAATAGGAACTGATCTGATCTGAGAGAAAGCTGGAGATATATATATATATATATATATGTACACGTATATATTCCTTAAAAAACCATGAATGAGAAAAAAACAGTTTTGTGAAGGCCCATACTTTTGTCTATGAATCTCTTGCCTTTTGTAAGATGTTTTGTGAGGTGCTGTTTGTTGGATTTAAGTTATGAGAGCTTTAATCTGCCACCAAACAAATGCTGTTTTAGTTTCAGATTTATAAACATGTTATATAGTAGAAAGAAGTAAATATGGAATGAAAAATACAGACAACATATTCTTGGTGAAAAATAAGTACTAGTTACCTCTTTTGATGTCTATTTGAGGATATTTTTTGCTAAGAGATACCATTTGATTTGTAAGTTGACAGAGGAAGCAAAATTTCTATAGAAGAAAAAGAGACTGCAGGGTTTAGTTGAGGATTTGCTTATTATAATACACAGGGAATATGTGAAGGACAGCAAAATTGGTGATTAACTTTAGATATTTCTGAAGTGTCAGAGTTTATTGTAGAAAATTCTATTTTATTCCCCTTTCTATTTTAGAAGCTTACTTCTCAGGTAGAACAAAGTTAACTTCCTATTTGATGGAATTAGTGCTATTCTCAGAATTAGTATTTTTGTTTTGATTGAATGTCATGTTAAGTGACATATGGCAATTTAAATAAAGCCTAGAGACAGGTTTTTACTGGATTGTTAGAGTTGTCTTACATTTCCTGAGTTACTCTGGGCCTATATGTTTGGGTTGGATGGAGTATTTCAAAAGAGAGGGAATCTTTCAAGGGGTTAAGTCATGGTCTTTTAGAAATTTAGAAATTATTGACTGAGAAATTCTTTATTGTTACTAGTGACAAAAAAGTGTTAAGGTGATGTAAACTGCAGCTGGTAGAACTTAAATATGACTTAAGAATTCTGAAACTATGAGGTTTACTAGAAACTAATTTTATGCTTTTGTTTTTTGGTGTTTTGAGACAGACATTTGCTCTGTAATTCAGGCTGGCCTTGAACTCACTGTGTAGCCCAGGCTGGCCTGCAGGTCACAGTGATTCTCCTTTGTCAGCCTACTGAGTGCAGGAATTGCAGGAGTGTGCTGCTATGCCTGGTTTAGTAACTAGTGTGAAAGTTGTAAGAATTCATTTTTTTCACAGATCTTAAGAAGGAAGGGCATTAATGTAGTGAAGGTACATTCTTACTCAATGAAATACTAATGAATGTTAAAAAATATGGATTTGTTTGTCTTAAATTGAAATTGTGAACTTTTACTTAAACAAGGAGCTGATCTTGCTTTTCACGCATTCTGTGGTTTCGGCAG